ACTAACGAACCTCGGGAGCCGCGTGAGCCCGATGAGCCCAGGTTGCCGGGCCCTGAAACAGTTTGACCAATATCAGCAGAGGGCCGCCGTGTGATCGAGCGGCACTTTTCATAAATTTGAAATATAAATATCAATTTTTCACTCGAAATAGGCAGCAATATTAGACAAAAAAATATTGCTCTATTATGCTGCTCCTGGTCCCATTTCGCCCTACAAGAAACGTTATGAACAAAAATTCGCTATCTCTCTTACATTTCGAGATATTATCAAAAAACGACGTCATGGGACAAATTTTTTCTTTTTTTAACATGGAAATTATTCTAATTTACGGCAACTGACATCGTATTTCCTGATTTTTAAGTGGTAAATTACATAGATAATCTTGTAATTTCCGTTTTACCTTCATCATTCATGTTTTCGAAATTGTCATTTATGATCTCAACCTAAAAAACAATGAGATTAAGATGATAAATTAAAAGATTTGAAGAACGTCAAATACAGGAAAAATCTCGCAATTGACGATATTTTTCTCATAATCTACGAATTTAAAAGCGTACATTATGTTTTTAAATGATGTGTGTCACGAGAACGTTTCGCTGTGTGTGTGGGAGGATAACAGACCACGAAATTAAATTCGAGCCGGAATAAAGAGTGCAAAAAAGTGATATAATAATCATTGAGGGTCAGGAGAATCGAGTGTGAAGATTACAATGAAGAGTTAAAACTAAGAATCACAAATTCAGGAAGGTGAAATGAGGCTCAAAGATGATAAGGATAAATCACAAAATTAAATAAGAGGGGAAGGGAAGTTTAGATTTGCGAGTCAGAATTGATGATCATCAGAGTCGATTGTGATTGTTAGAATTAAGAGTTAGTGATGAAAGTCTGAAAGTGGTAAATGAAGCGTCAGCCGAATCAATCGTTCGATTTGATGCTTATTTAGGACTCTTATACAAGTAAAACAAGCAGGCGACAGCAATTATATGACTGTAGATGAGTTATTGAAATGTATGGGTATATTTTCTTTGCCATCAATAAATTGATGGTGAGCTTCCGAATGGTTTTTACAAATTTTTTTTTTCCTATTAATTTATATCTATTAAGAATATCAAAACAAAAATTTTCCCTTAAAAAAAATGGATTCGGTGAAGTCAATTTTGAGATGTTCCACATTATCATTTTACACTAAAAATGAAATATCTCCGGAACTAATCAGTCAATCATACTCATTTTCAATACCATCCGTTGCAGTGATAAAAGCACAATCTCGTCAAAATTTGAAGTTGATATCTCGATTTTTGTGGGGGTGAGAGTGCGTACAACATTTTTTTTTCAAAAACATAAAAGTGCCAATAACTATGATTTTTTCCAAAGTTCATTTTCAAATTTTTGATCGATTCCAATACAGCCAATCATGGCGAAGAGAATGTTCATTAGTTTTAAAGATATTTCGAAAAAACGATTTCTAAACAAATGATGATTTCTCAAAAACGGTTTGACCGATCTAGCAGAATTTTCATTCCATAGTTAGCCTCAACTCTTACCTGCTATTTGACGAAATTTCAAATTTTTTTGGAATTTTTTTACCCACCTTTATCTTTTCTTAACTAAAAAATGACCCCTGGCTAGGGGGCACCACGCACAGACATTCTCAAAAAATTTTGTATTTTTACGTTTCAGACCATTCTACATCGTTTCCAAGCAAAATTAGATTTTTTTTTCCGGTCGGGATCGGACGATTGCAATGCTTCCATTCGGAAGCAAAAAATATATAAATGTAAAAACTTTACTGCTAGTTCTTAGAATTTTAAATTCGTAACTTGCATCAGGAGAAAATCTAGAAAGCAAAGTGTAATTTCAGAATGTATTCTTTAAAATCAAATTAAGACCCATGAAAATTGAACCATTTTTGATTCCTAACATTTGTCTCTCTTCTTTCCCTGGCGAGCGCTTGACCCTTGTGATCTTTCGTTGTGACCGCTCTTTCGGACACTTTTTTTTAAATCATACATCTGCCTTACATTCTTTGTATATTTTTTACTCGTATCACTTCCATGAATCCCCCCCCCCTCTCCACAGCATCTCATTCTTAAAAATTTATCGGAAAAATTAGTCACTTATGCACAGAGAAAAAAAAATTTTTTGCCAAGAATATTTACTAACCACAAGAAAATATATTTGGCATTAGTATATCTTATGGGACTATTTATACAGTGATGGCCAGATTTACTGGTGGGAAGAATACATTTTTGGCAAAATTATTTTTTTTTCTCAGTGTGTATAGGAGGTCATGTATATCAAACTACTATATGTGTTGTCGGGTTATAATACTTTTTCATTTCTATACGATTTTCCAATTTTCATACATCGGTATTATACTATGATTTTTAATAAGAAAAATGTAATTTCCAATTACCTAACTATACAAAATACATACCCACATTGTAAATAACATTCAAAAACTAATATTGTAAACTTAGATATGGGGGAATTGTATAAAATGGTGGTATCAAAACTGGTGACGGGAGGAGGGAGGAGGCAGTAGAAGCCCAGGGGAATAGCCAAAGGAGAAGGTCTTATATATTTAATAGGTTTTATTTCCATTTTTCTATAAAAAGCGTCTAGCCGGATAAGCATGGTGAATTTGCCCCAGCGAATTTCAAGGCGACAACTTTTTGACATTTATGACCCAAGAAGATAATTCTGTCTGAAATTTCACATCTTTATGTTGATTCCCGGATTTTTAATCATTAAAAAACGTGTTTTTTTTTCATTTTCAAAATTATTTTAAAAATGTGAAATAATTCTGAAAAATCAAAACGAGTTCAAATTTATTCAGTATTTATTAAAAATTGTAGAATTATTTTTTCATATTTTTTTCTTGCTAAATCCTATTTTTCATCGCACCTAATCTTCTTTTAAATTAATTTCGATATGTACAGATTTTTCTAGTACTCTGAGGAAATTTAAGAGATGATTGTATTCTCAATTCCTTTGAAATTGAGGAAAAGGAAGTTTCAATGTTTTACATGCGACAGATAGGAAAAAATAAAAACTGCAAATTTGCACGTTTTTTGTTAAAAATACCTGCGGAGATAATTCCTAGAGGTTAATTAACTAGTAATTATAAGTATGTTCGTGGTATGACAGGTCATACTTATGTATACTTAACAATGATGAAATATCTCCGAAGGATCTATGTGAATTCCTTATTTGAACACTTTTCATTATCAATCTCATGCTGTGAAAACGAGATTTTATACATTTTTTCCGAATTTTGGACTATTTGTAGTGGCCAATTACATTCTACGAATGCTTGGGATGCAGTTTCTCTTTAGAAAAATATCAAAGCTGATGTATGGCTCAATTTTCAATAAAAACCGGAAAATTTGCAGTTTTTTTTTATGTATTGCAGCCAAAACATTGAATCTTTTTTGGTTCAATTTGAAGGAAATTTAGAGTAGAATCACTTTAATCTCCTCAGAGTAGTAGAAAAATCTGTACACATCAAAATTGATTTTAAACAAAGTTTGAGTGATAAAAAATAGAATTTAGCAAGGGAAAAATATGAAAAAAAAATTGGCACAATCTTGAAATGTTCTTGTTTTTTTTAATTTTTTCAGATTTTTAAAACAAATTTTAGTATGACAAAAAAGAAAAAACACGTTGTTTAATTACTAAAAATCAGGGAATCAAGTTAAAGATCTGAAATTTTCCACAGAAGTATCGTTTTGGATCATAAATATGTCAAAAAACTGGCGCCTTGAAATTCGCTGGGGGAAGATTCGCCATGCTTATCCGGTTAGACCCTTTCCTAAATTTGCAAACAATTTACAAATCAAAAAGAGATTGGTAAAATTTTTTTAATTTCGACAATCTCTTTATTTAAAAAATCGCTGTCATTAATGTCTTAGAATTCTGAGTCGGCTAACAATTTTAGCTCTCCAAGATGCCCATTCTTTCGGTGAAGGAATGAATATACTCTACCATTTGGAAGCTTATGATATGTGCTTTCAAATAATCGAATATCATGCCATCATATAACGCTTGGGAATTTCCGTTTTGAAAACAATATTGTATTTTTAGCAAAATAAACTATCTTTTTATATTATTTTCATCACGATGTGCCGAAAAGTAACTTTTCAGTCACGCTCCGTTTCGCTTCGCGTGCCTAAAAAGCGACTTTTCCGCATATTCTGATGAAAAATATTGTTCGCAACTCGTGCCGAAAGTAATTTTTGACGTGTGGGATCATATCACTCGCCTTCGGCTCGTGCTATAAACCTCCCACACGCCAAAAATCACTTTTCCGCACTTGTTACGAAATATACTATTCTAATTGGAATTTATGTTAATCATTAAAAATGAACGCCAATACACATCCCTTTAAATTGTTTATTGTAAAGTAGCAAGCTCAGATTTTTTACCAAAAATAATATAGCAATCGATATCTACGGAATCCACATTGTATTTAAAAGTGCTTTAGAAGTGTATTTAGAAGTGAATAGTGCTGTGCTCCATCAGTATGTTATAAAGGTAAGGCAAATTTATTATTAATTGAATGGAAAAGAAAAGTTGAAAAAGTAACCATCTATTGCTGAAAAGAAAAATTACGAAACATTCGTGAAAAACTTCAGAAGCGACGGAATTTTCGTGACGCTGTAGAGCTATTTCGTTATTTTTATTTACTCTATTCGATATCTTTGAATACATGAAAATGTCAAATTATTCATATTATCAGTGACATTAACCTTAAGTTTGAAAATTTTAATAGGAAGTATGAACGAAAAAACGGATAGATAGCTTCACCTCAGCGGGAAAGCTCTGGGGGCCATTCAAAATGACGTTTGAGCGAGAAGAAATTCTGAAATTGCTAAAATTGTATAAATTGTGTGAAATTAAATTTTAGAATATAAAAAAAACGCTACATTTTGGAGGAAAGGTTAAGATGTGCGGGGGTGTATCTGCAAAGTAACCATTTGAAAAATTTTACGTTGAGTGAGCTCGCCGGGTTTATGAATATAATATGTTTATATAAGCGTGAAAGATTTTGTTTTGAGGATTTATCCGAGCGTGCAACGTCAAATTTTTGTCAAATCCTTCTTATTTCTACATTTTTTCAATAATTCAATGTATGGCAAAATGGGAAATTATTTGACAGATTTGGCCTAGGAGAGGCATGTCGGACAATATTATAAAAATTCGAAAAATGATGAACATGGAAATCTTGCAATGTTGATACACATTGCGGAAACTACGGAAAATGGCAAATTATCGTAAAAATAACGCATCTGGAAGACGGGTGATGAGGAGGGGGATTTTGAAAATTGAAAAAAATTTGAAAATATCGCCAAGGTTATGTAAGATGAGAAATTATTTGTTAAATTTCGCATAGAAAGTGAAGTGGACGCAAAATTTTTTTAATAAAAAAACAGTTGTAAATCTAGAAAACATGGCGGAAACTATGGAAGATGGCAAATTATGGAATGAATTTTGCCTAGGAAAAATAAGGGGGCAAAATTTTAATAATTCAAAAAATGCCAAAAATTCAAAATTAGTAAATTAAAAAACAAAATTAACTTTTTTTTTATTAAAAAGAAAATTCCGAAACACATTAAGATAGCGATTTTTGATTAAAATTTGAAATACATCCAAAATGTCTTTTTTTTTTTAATTTTAAAGGTTGGAAAAATTTCAGAAATTTAAAAAATATCTTGTTTTTTTAAGAAGTTTGCCAAAAATTTGATAATTTTGAAAATTGATATATGAAGTTAAAATTGAGATCGCAGAAAAATCTTTCCCTTCTCCCCGCCTTTATTAAAAATTATGGATCTCCCTTAGTTTCAGAGATATTTTTTGGCCAACTCACCGAATGAATTTCTTTAGCTTTCATTGTCAATGTAACCCTCCTGTACGTACTCCCCCAAGATGCACGTTATCTATAACTCTCTCTTCATGCCCCAATTTCTATCATCAATTTCTATTATCGCCTTTTAAAACTTCCAACGTAATTTTTATTTTGTTTAATATGACAACTTTCTTCAATTCAGATAAATTTAGTATATTATACCATAGTATATTAGAGAATATTGCTGAAGAACAGATTTTTCTAAAATGTACAAACTAGTTTTTGAATCCATTTTTTTCTTCTGTGCACTTATTATATTAAGTTCAAACAAGTTTGTGTGCGACTTCGAGGAAGTATTAAAATGCGCCGTTGTCCGGGAAGCGTCATTGCATTGAGTATTTTTGTATTGATCGATAGAAACTTTTTTTTGTATGGAAAAGATCAATATTTTTAGACGATGAGACAATAGACGAGTGAAAATTTAGGGGGCGTGTTACAACGTGTTTTCAACGTCGTCGGGGACATTCAGGACGTTGATATTACGTTGACCAGCTTACGTAGCTGAATGAACCGATAAATGTGCTTCCGACGTACATATCCGTACTTATTTTCATTTCTTCCGCATTTTCTGTGGAAAGTACGTCGAAACATTCATTCATCCCGTATGCCTTCAAGATCTAAATAAAAATCGATGAATTAGTTTAATGCATGTCAGGCCCAATTGGATGGATCAAATTTGTATTAACCCGAGAGGCGACTTTGAAAAAAAAAGAAAAAAAAAAACAGATCGGATCATCAGGTGTCGAGATATTTTTTTCCCGCGATCCGAGAAATATTCCCTTCCGGTGACCCATCCTGTTTCTGCCCCGGCTGGATGCTGCTTAGCATCAATTATAATTTTTATAATAATAATATAATTTTTTTATGAATTGATAATTTTTTGGGGATTTACACATGCAATGGCGTGGGAGGGAAATGATAAGAGGGAAACTAAGGACAATACGAACAATATAAAAGGCAGCGGGGTTCAATGGGATGAGGTGAATTGCGAAGTCGGTTCAAAATATGCAAAAGATTCAAGCGAAAAAATTGAACATCAAAGAAAAGTACGTTTTAAACGTTGAGATTATGCTAGGGGATCCGGTAAAATTTTGATTCGGGAACACGTTCCAATTACTGCGGTCACGGATGAGTGTCTCTATATAAAATAGTAGGGGGTGTGCCTCTCAACGGACGAATCCCATTGGAGCATTTCACCGTTGGCCTATTCACGTAGCTAGCGATTGAGCCGATGGTCAGTCTGACGGAGCGAATCACGAGTATATTATTGGAATGTGGATAGAGCTCATTGTTGAATAAATCAACCTCCTTAATTTATTTTTTCAGTTGATATTTTTTTTTATTTAAATAGAAATAATAATTTGTATGACATTTACTTTGATAATTATATTATTTGGTGTTGAAAATCGGTGAAGGATGTTACCAAGAAAAATTCCAGTGAGTAAAAAATCAATTTTTTATTACATTTTACCTTATTCCACTTCAAATTGAAAAAATTATCGATATTTATCTCTACGGTCAAAAAAGAGAAAATTAATTTCGAATTATTCACTCACGTGGGCTAAAAAAATTGAGAATCTTTATCCGATTTGCTGTTTTCGTATTTCCAATAGCCGATGAAGGTATCTGAAACCAATTCTCACTCACTCGTGTGAATTAGTTAAAAAGGCCAAAGAATGGAGGGCGAAAAATTGTTATATGTTGCCAAATTTTGTTAGCAATTTTAGACATTTTTCTCACGCCTCGCTGATAGGTCAAACCCAAGGGGTAACTCTCGATCGGATTCATTCGGCCTTATTTAAACTCATTTAAATGCATTTCAATAAAGCAAAAGCAAAAAGGTGGGCCACATTTTTTTTGGGTTCAACTTCGATTTTGCACAAAAAACACTTTCCGAGGGACTAAGATTTCTCCACGTTCCAGGTCATTTTAAGCCATCTGAGATCAACTTTTGGAGATAATCCAGAAAATTTTTTTAAAGGCAATTTCGTTGGGACCCACGATTGTTCACGTTTCAAACGATTTTGAATCATCTGCGCCGAACTTTATGAGATAGTTTTTAACAAATTTTCAGTTAATTTTTGCGAAATTTATTTAAATTGTGCCAGAACGTGGTAAAAACAGTTTATTGGGAATTATTAAAGATTTACGTTTCAGGTTTCAGTTTTCGCCTTCGGCTCGTACTATAAGCCTCCCGCACACCAAAAATCACTTTTCTGCGCTTGTTACAAAATATACTATTTTTCAATACTATTGTTTCTTCGCTCATAGATTAGCAATCGGGTTCTAATTGGATTGAAATTTTTGGAGGATTCTCAATAATGCATATTATTATAGTTAATCGTGCGCATCGTCAAATTTAATCACAATAATATCTTGCTACTTTTTTAAATTACCATGTATTCCATTGAATATATTTTGGAAGGCATTCTCGATTGAATTAATGCTTAATAGATCGGAATCTAACAATAATTGAGTCAATTCTTCGATACCACAAACAAGATTTTCCCTACGCTTTTACCCCACGAATTATGCTTAAATCTTCCAAGCATTATGCTTACATCACAGCATAATAATATATATAGGTCTGTGTCTCTAAAAAACGAATTTCGTTTGATCGGTATCGGGTCGATTTGATTGTTCAACACTTAATTTCGGCCCCTCATTTTCTATACCCTTCATTTTTCCACCTTAGATTTTTTGGCGCTCAATTTCTTCCCTTTTGGTTTCCACTCTTATTTTGTTTTACTTTTGTCGTAATTATAAAATTTTTTAATATAGTTAATCATACAATCCTCCTTAAATTCAAACTCAATCGAAATAACAAAGAAGCGAATATTTTGAGCCACAATTAGATTTGAATAATAATTTTTGGAATGATCTTCGAAAAATGTTCAAAATATTCTTTGGAGTTCTGTTCTTATTAGGAAGATGGAGGGTTGACTGTCATTGAGGATGGAAATAGCAGACGTCACTATTCCTACAAGAACCATGTTTACCACTTCGGATCTTCGACTTCTATTGCCACGAATTATCGATGTTGCGAATATCAAACAGCGTTTAATTGTAAAGTAAAACTGCGCAGAACTCACGACGGCACATTCACTCTAATAGGAGGGGAACATCGGCACAGGGCCAGACAAGAAGAGAAAGAGAATGCTGCTGCCAGGGTGGAAATGAAACGAGATGCTAGCATAACCCATAATACCCCTATGGATATCTTCCTCAGAGTTTCAAGAAAGTAAGAAATCTTTGCAAATTTAAAACATTCCACCTCATTGTATTCAAATGGGCATTGAAAAAAATGTACTCTTCCAATTATCAGCTTCCATACGCAGACGAAATTCAATTTTAGAGTAGTATTTTATGAGACACTAAATTATCACTGTTCAATAATGGATGAATTTCTTGATAGACCTTATAACAAAATATCTGAATATCTTCATCTCCTCAGTCATCGATTACAACTCGTCAACTCTTCCAACTCTTGCCAAAACACTCAATATTCTTTTCGCATATTTGCAATATTTTCGCCGTCAAGTGAAAATTACGACGCATATACATTCTTTGTTGAATGGATCATCAGAAAGGAAGAATTACCTTAAATAATCGTTTTTTACCCAAAGCGAGCAAGCTGGATAAAATATGGAGTTGTTCGTTTAGTACATATAGAAAACTATCATCCCGCTGCGGTGCTGTAATAATAAAGTTACTAATAATTACGTAGATTAATGCATCCGTATATGAACATCTATACAGATGAACTATCGATATACAGTAGACTCTCGTTAGTTGCACTCTCGATAGTTGCCACTCTTTCTCCTGATTCGCGTTTCAGACGCTCGAGCGATACCCCTACTCCGCCTCCGATCGATATCGTAACCAAAATACGAAAGAGCCATGCTTGTGTACCACACACACGTTGTTTCCCCGGCACAAGTATTTCTTCAATTATTTTATTCGACACCGAAAAAGAAAATACTTTTTGTCCCTTTAAATTTCCCAGAATTGAGACCGAGCGGCGCGCAGGAGTGGGGGCCCGAGTTAGTTGCCACTTTCCACGAATCGGGTACCCCTACAGCCCCTAACGTGTTGCAACTATCGAGAGTCCACTGTATTTATAAACATCTATAATATACGAATTATATAATTCCCCTATTTATCCGGAGGCAAGTCATTGAATTAACAACATTACCTGAATCACCAGAGGATTCTTAGAAAATGATTGGGTTCCCCTCTTCTTGAACTTGTAGGTATCCTGCTGCGGCACAACGCATCTCAGTGCCTGCAGCTGAAAGCTTGATCAGGCGGAAAAGAGAGGCAATTGGGCGACCAAGGGAACCTGAATCGTTAGAAGAATTGGGATCAATTCTTGTAAAAAATGACGAAATGGCGGAGATGGTCAGAGGCAATTTTAAAGGGGTCGTACATCCCCCAGGAGGCGCGGAAGGTTGTGCCCTCTTATTTATTAATGATGCAGTCTTAAATGACCTCAATACCGCAAAAATGATCCAAATTGATGGCACCATGAAGGTCTGTACCTTTTATCATATTGGGTATTCCTGTAGTTTGAAAATTTTTCACGGCATCTATCCTTTAATGTGAATAATCCAAAAAAATACCGTCACTTAGGTAATTTATGAATTTTCTTTGACTATTCTGTAGTATTCTACTGTATTCTACTTTACTTTACAATTCGACTCAATTCGTGGTTGAGGAGTTGGATCTTTGCAGATATAAAACTGTACTAAATATGGCTTTTTTAGGCGGTTCCAAATATTCCGACAGGAACACAGATATGGATTATTAGTATGAGAAAACGCAATAAGGTACGGAAATAAAATTCTCCAATAGAACTTTCATCATTTTCGAACATGGTTTTCACCATATTATCCTGTCTGTTCTTATTCATAGTCATTTGCAGTAGGATTCGCCTATTGCCGAGGCGCTAAAGCAGTTCTGTACGAAGCCATCTTAAGACGACTACTTGAATTGGCCCCAGGTCTTAAAGACGTTCAGCTCATCATCTCTGATTTTGAGAAAGCAGCATTGAAAGCTTTTCGCTTGGTGTTTCCTAGAGCCAGGATTCAAGGTTGCTGGTTTCATTTTGTTAAAGTGAGTCGCATTATTTTATTTTTACATTGCACACTCGTCATTTTATTACTGGTCATTATTATATGTCGCGTGAGTTTAGGAACAAGTTCAATTAGATGTTGGGTATTTTGTTGTCTGATTGTAGGCCATGTCTGACCATTGGAAACAGCTGAGACTCAGGAATGCTCCATCTGAACCAAAACTGATAACCCGCTCTCTGGCATTATTACCACCTGAACTCGTACATATTGGTGTGAAAGTTATTGAAGAGATCTGCAATCTATATCATGAGATTTTCGCCAATCTCAAAAGATGGGCGGCTTATATACAAGGAGAATGGGGAGGGAAACCAGAAGTGGTGTCAGTCTTTAGTTCATGTATTAGGACAAACAACGATTCTGAGGCATTCAATAGGCATTTCACAACTCGAGCTGGTGGTCGCAAGCCAAGAGTTTATGTATTCATTCGTAAGCACTAAACTTATAGTTGATTAGAGAAATACAAAAAAATACAGTACTGTACAATAATGGCAGTCGTTTTTGCAGGAAATTTGCAGGACATAATTAATAATGAAGTTGTCAATTTGAAAAGATCAGATGCGAACATCCCACTGGTGAAAGTAAAGAAACGAGAGCAAATATTGACTAAAGATGAGCAAATTATAAAGGCTCAAAAGACCCTCCTCAGAGACGGGTAATAACAAAGACTTATAACATTTTTTAGTGTAGAGTGTAAAGTAACATTTAACAAAATTTTGATCCATTGTTCTTTTTGTAGGATTACTCAACAGGATGTCTACGATTTTATGAAAAGTCGCTTGTCACCTCATTTATCGCAAATAATTGATGAGGAAAGATTGAACTTGGCGCAAGGAAAAGTGACCAGTAAGTTAAACGATTACTCAATTAATTATCAATTAATCAATTAATTGATTATTAATTATAACGTCTTTTCAGTGGTACGTAATACGAATCAATGCTTCAAATATTCATTTTTACAGACACAACGTATGTGAAGAAACCTAAGCCTGCAATAAAAAGCTTGTCCCCAGACGATGAAGAGTATGGAGGTGAGACTAGTTTATGGCCTTCTTTTGAATAAAGAATTAATGATAAGGTCCCGAGGAAATTTATTCGTAATTTATTTATTTAATTTCAGTGAAAAGAAAACGTCCACATAAGAAAAGTCCTAAAGCAATGGTGGTGACTAAAAAGGCCAAAGGTCATGAAGAAGCAGGAGCCGCTACATCAGGGTAGCAATTCCTGGCAAATTGTTGAACAAGCCAGAGTACATTATATTGTTTAATTACTCGTTGAAGATCTCGAACATTAATAATCATAAACCATAATTTTTCATAGTTATGCTTCTTGTATTCCGTGTTTCGATGGACATAAATCTGTGCCTAATAAAGTGGTAAAATTGGAAAACTACCAAAGAATGATTATCAAAAATGTGATAATTAAATTTTAAACAATTATAAAGAAATAAAATCTATGATGAAACCAATAATGACTAATATTTTGAAGCTGCAAGGCTCATCGTGTATCCAGTGAATCAGAAACTGGACAAGTTTGATCTTTCAAATCCGACATTAAGAACTCCAGTACGTCCTGATCGTGATCGATGCCTCCATTGGCAGACTGATTGTCCGAAAACGTGCAGGCTTGGTCGCCCAAATTCCCCATTAAGTACCGCAGTAGCTCCTGATCGTGATACATGCTTCGATTGGCGAATTGATCATCGTCTGAAATGTTAATTTCCAAATAACGGCGAGGTTTGGAATAATCCGATTCGTCTCTCAATCGCTAATAGGAAAAACTTTTCAATGTACCTGATTCCTTATTTTTTTTGAGTAAGTTACCGAGGTCGACTTCTATGGCTGTAGTTTCTCCTCCCATCGATTCAGGTGAAAAGAAATTGCCAGAAGTAGTAGCATCCATTCGCAGTATCCATTCTTGGCAATCTTCATTAACCAATCCTGCAGCCTCGACATGATCGAAGTCGAGTTCCTCAACCATGGCTACTTGTTCCATTGATTCAATAGAAGAGGAATCGCCGGACTCAGTCTCATCCACTTCTAGAATGATGGCGTGGGAATCTGGGCAATCTTCAAGCGATTGTTCAGTTTCCACATGGTCGAAGTCGAGTTCCTCAATCATGGCTACTTGTTCCATTGAGTTAATGGAAGAGGAATCGCAAGACTCAGTCTCATCCACTTCTAGAATGATGTCTTGGGAATCTTCAACAAGCGATTGTGCAGTTTCCACATCGTCGAGGCTGACTTTTTCCTTCGTGATTATTCCACTCGCTGGTTTAGTTGAAAAATAATTCCGGTCATCAGTATCATCTATTCCTATCATCTCGTCTTCTGAATCTTCATAAGACGATCTTGTAATTTCTGTATGATCACCTTTGAAGAACTTGGACACTTGCTCTTCGACTACTGAATTGCTGGTGCTAGTTGAAGATTCCAACGCATTTTCTATAAGTAATGAACACTCGATTAATTAAAGAAAATATGATCAATTTCGTTATCCGTTCGTCAATTAATTCCAAGAATTTCGTAATCATTCTCTTTCGAAAACTCGCAACTTTACCATGTATTACGATTTACCTTCTCGAGGTCGCTTAGTCAGCCCTGCGAATTTTAACTTGCATTGATTAACCTCTTTGGTCGTTGGAGATGGTTTTGTACTTGCAATATCGAAAAGAGGACGTGGATCATGATCTGAAATTACTAAAAATTATATTTCACTGTACAATAGTAAATTTCTAAAGACTTTCTGTACATTACATTTTAACAGGATCATGCCATCTAATTTATGCAAAAACTCTCGATGTAGGCTCATGTGGAAAAATTCATCTATTGAAATCCTAGAATATGAAAGAATTCGAAATTATGCGAGCAGGACTACCATAAATTCAGTGTGATTTACATTCGAGGTAAAATGGGCACATACTTGTTGACATTGAGCAACCTGAGGCTTCGTTGGACTTCCTTATGGTCATAGTCTCTTATGAGAGGTGTAGTTTTATCTTTACACTTTTTTTTTCCGGTGCTCGAGAAGGCGTCTCGCATGGTTACCTCATGTTATATTACAATATCCAGGGAATCTGCCCAAAAAAATTTTTTTTCGTTTTCATTTCCATTGCGCTCCCTTGTCCTATCAGTGAAGAAGTTTCAATGAACGATTCTTTTCGTTGAAACTCTAAAGGAAAATATAATCTCCTTGATACCACTCGCATTTCAAAATAATTCGTGTATTTCCCTTGAGGTTCTCTCTGTACGAACAAAGGTGTTCATTTTTTTCTGAAAAAAATCACTCGTAATGTTTCAATCTTCAAAACTTAACGCCATCGTTTGCTTGCAATGAACAAATAGGGAGCTACTAGATCATTTTGAAGTTCCCGTGGTATTACATATGACATAATGTATGCAATAAGTTAAATGAGTCTTATTTTCGAAGACAACAAATTAAAAAAAAATAAATTGTAATATCAATACTTAATAAAGAGATGTAGGGTAATGTGATTTTTAATCATATTTACCGGTTAACTTTGCAACGGTTTTCGATTTAGCCAGTTTAGACACAAGGAAGCGACCCAAAGCTTCTGAGCGTTTAGCTAAGAGGCAAGCTTCACTAGGTGGAACAAGGCTGCTCAACCGCTTTTGCCATTGATTCTTGAAAAAGGCGAAGAATACGGCGGATTCGGATGTCTTGCGGCATTTCCATCGACCATGGCGGAGATCTGTAATAGCCCTGCTTGAATATCTTCCGATGTAGCACATAAACCAAGCATCCAACATGCATGGAGAATATCCAGTGGTGGATTTCCCTTCATTATACTATTCCACAATTCGCATACCGCCTACAAATAATAGAAAGAAATAGTATCAATAAACATTATCATGAAATTCATAAGACCATCCAATTCTGGATGATTACCTGTACGAAATCGAGCCATGATATGCTGATTGTCGCTTGTGGAAAAACCGCGTGAATTGTCTCTACTGTGCACTCATCCGAAGGGGTCACTACCGAACGCACAGCCTTCATCCCCGGTGCTAGCTCAACGATACGTGTCAGGGTCTGCTCGTAAAGTTTACCTGATCTCTCTCAAGCATATATAAACACAGCTCCAAACGTCTGGATAACAAATCATGCAAAATTCTTTATAAACAAAATAGATATGCAATAGGAGGATTGAAAGATATTCGCTTGTCTTTTATATTCAAAATATTCCACGAATTTTCGATGTCCAAAAACCTTCATTCAATTTCGTTTGTTAGAAAATCAAATAATCAAGTCTTATGGAATGTTACGAAGCAACTCACCGATTGTTTATCACCATTCTTGTTCGTCACATGGATGATCATCATTTCATCATCGATGGCACCTTCTAGTAAAACCTACATTGATGGAATTTTTTTTTTTTTAGAATGATACTGACTTAAAATTAGACCAATTGCTTTTCTTTTGATACCTACATTTTTGACGTGACTGATCACTATTGCGTCAGTTGTGTTGAGCAGATTTATCATTCCATCGGATGCAAGTATCAAAGCCTCTTGAGTATCAACAGTAATTAATCCCTTCACGATGGCCTGACGTTTCTCTATCATCCTCATGTCTGATTGAAAGTTGGTTATACTTTCGGGAATTGTGCATCTCAATGTCGCCTTTCTGACCATCTCTTTAATGGCAACAGGCGTTTTCACCTCACCGTATCTAAACCGAATGAAAAAAAAACATCAATCATTAATTATCATTAATTAATCAAATTAAATTAATTCTTAATTAATAAATTTAAGTACATGATGAAAAAGAAGAAAATATACTTTGTGATAATTAAAAATACCTTTCAATCAACTGTCTTGTTAAATGACCAATGTTGACGTTTTCTTCCTTCAAACCCTCCAAGAGATCGGCTTTTAACTCAAGGTTCTTGACGACTTTGAAATCAATCACATCCGAGTGTGTCCCTGTCATCTCCATGGTACCATCAACGTGCCGATGAAGTACAACGTCACAACCAGTCTGCGATCGGGTAGCACAACGCCAAGTGTCTTCTTCCAAATCACGGCTATCTTTATGATACCGAAATCGTTTATATAAATAAACAAATGTACCCGTCCTCTGACCTGGACATTTTTTAATGACATCCTCCTATGAATTGGTAAAATTCAGTTATTAAAAAAGAAAGTAATCATTATAAATTCAAAATATTATACAGAACGCACATACGCAGAAAGGAAATTGCAGATATTCAAAACCCACACGAAGGAAAATAATAGTGGAAGAACAAATAATTCCTGCCAAGTACGCTAGCAGTGTCCAAATTTATAATAATGTTTGGGAAAATTGATGTTCTTCTTATTGTGCGGATTTTATCAGCCTGCTACTCGACATCTCCAAATCATTATGATTAATACTTCCTATAATTAATACATTTCCGTTTGAGATAAATGAAACTATTAACATTAATCAAAAGTAATAATACTTACTAGAGCCATGATACATATAACTGGTAATACAATAAGTATTATGGAGACTTCACTTTTTTTCAATTTTCTTCCACTTGCCGATGTAAAAAAAGGTAGTTCTTCGTTGCTGTCGCTCTCAACGCAGTTGAGTCGTAACTGACTTGTGAGTTGTGACGAGGCAGAATTTTGCACCCCCCCCCCATGCCCCCTAATTAATACTTATTATTTTTCCTAGGCTAAGTTAGGTTTAAGTTACTCTTTTTTGCCACCGTCGGATAACCCATTCCCGAGATACTCCTTCACCCTACCCCATTTCCTCTCGCCGCGGTACTCACATCAACCGTGGAAAAGGACGACAACGATGAAGAAGAAAACCCCCCCGCCCGTTTCCCCTCGACACCGCACTCATCGCAGACTGGCTAAAAGGAGAAAACCCCCCACGAAGAGACTAGACACCACGTGACCCGGAAAAGAAAGAGACATCCCTCAACTGACCCTCAAGGAATAACTAAGAAGAAAAGGACACTCGATGACGAGTGCCACCGAGTAACCCCCATTATGACTGATAATCAGGGAAGAAGGTGTGAAGATAACTGGCAGTCATCACTTGTGATACAGCTGCCCCGTGACCAGTAGTGTTTTTGGAAAAGAGATTGTTCGGAGGAGAATTTCATTGTGTTGGAGATTTAGACTAGCGTGGAGACCCAGGAGTGGAGAAATCTGGAGAAGGAAGGAAAGAGGAAAAGT